TTTAATTAAAGATTACCTCAATAGATGAAGATTTATAAAACACCATTTCCTAAGAAAATAAAAAAACATAAATTAAGTTAGTATTTATGTATAATTAATTTTAACCCTAATATCTCTAATGGCTTATATAAATAAAATTTACATAAAGAAAATTTACTTACCCCATTGATTACCTCCTAATGTTTCCTGGAAAACAAATAAAATAACACAAATTATATATAATCAAATAGGGAGAAATAATGAAAGAGAAAATTAAAAGATAGGAGATTGAAAAAATATCAACCTAAAATTATATCAACAATGTAATTATAAACATATATAAACAATTAATCCAGCAGCATTGAATGGAAGAAAAAGAGGAGGAAGCCAGAGGAGAAGAAGAAGAAGAAGAAGAAGAAGAAGAAGAAGAATAAGGAAGACCAGAAGAAATAAGCCGGGAAGGGCTGTGGTGGTATATATATGGGAAGTTACCCATGTATAGTTAGTCGGTATCTTTTTCACCGACAAACATCACATGGCTAGATCACTGAGAGCGGGAACCAAAATTTTTGCCATTGGCGCCCAAATTACCGACCAACTTCCTGTTGGTTATTTTTTGCAACTTTACCAACAAGATACAAGTTGGAAGCTTAGAGTTCATCGACAAGATGCAAGTTGGAAAATGATTTTACCGACTAGGAGTACGTTTCTAGTGTGGCCGGTAACGATTCAGCAGCTTCCTCTCCAGATTTCGTCTATTTTGCCTAAGTTCCTTTCCATATTTCATTTTCATGCCATTTTCTGAATTTTTGTAACAGATTTTAAAAAAATTATAGTGGACATAAAATTTTAAAAAAATTATCAAAATTCCCCCGTATATATGATAAAATGTACTTTTTTTTTAAATATGCATTTGCAATACTACAATTTTTTGATAAAAAATGCAATAATTTGAAATTTATTCAATAGATTTTTTGTAATTTGGTCATTTTAGTTGGTATAAATTCTAAAAATATTTGACAGAGTTTCCCCATACATATGATCAAAACCAATTTTTTTTATCTGCATTTGCAATGAAAAACACATATATTCTACAAATCTAGTATGCTAACAACAATTATACCTTTTCAACCACAACTACAACCACAAAGTATATATGGCAATCACAC